TCGGGAAGAAGACGACCTGGCCGGCGGTGACGTTGTAGGTGGTGACGGTGGCGTTGTCGGGGCCGATGACGCCGATCCAGGCGGAGCCCTGAGGGAAAATTGAAATTAAAATTTAAAATTAAAATTAAAAATTGAAATTGAAAATTAAATTTAAATTTAAAATTAGAAATGAAAAGTAAATTAGAAGTGAAAATTAAATTAAAAATTAAATTAGAATAGATAATTAAATTAGAATCGAAAATTAAATTAGAATTGAAAATTAAATTAGAATTGAAAATTAAAATAGTAAATTAAATTAAAATTAAGAATTAAATTAAAATTAAAATGAAAAAATTAAATTAAAATGAAAAATTAAAATGAAATTAAAAATTAAAAATGAAATTAAAATTATAAATTAAATTGGAATGAAAAATTGAATTAGAGTTAAAAATTAAATGGAAATTGAAAATTAAAGTAGAATTGAAAATTAAAATTAAAAATTAAATGAAAATAGAAAATAAAAATAAAATTGAAAATTAAATTAGAAGTGAAAACTAAAAATTTAAATGGAAAATAAAAATTAGAATTAAAAATTAAATTAGAAGTGAAAATTAAAGTAGAATTGAAAAATCAAATTAGAATAGAAAATTAAAAAATTTAAATTGAAAATAAAAATTAAATTAAAATTGAAAATTAAATTAGAAGTAAAAATTAAAAATTTAAATTGAAAATAAAAATTAAATTAGAATTAAAAATTAAATTAGAAGTGAAAATTAAATTAGAATTGAAAAATAAATTAGAATTGAAAATTCAATTAGAATTGGAAATTAAATTAGAATTGAAAAATAAATTAAAATTGAAAATTCAATTAGAATTGAAAATTAAATTCAAAATTCAATGAAAATTAAAAATTAAACTAGGATTGAAAATTAAATTAGAATTAAAAATTAAATTAGAATTGAAATTTAAATTAGAATTAAAAATTAAATTAGAATTGAAAATTAAATTAGAAATAAAAATAAAAAAATTAAAATAAAAAAATTAAATTAAAAAATAAAAATTAAATTAAAATTAAAAATTAAAATAAAGTTGAAAATTAAAATTAGAATTGAAAATTAAATTAGAAGTGAAAATTAAATTAGAAGTGAAAATTAAATTAAATTAAAAATTAAACTGAAAATTAAATTAGAATTGAAAATTAAAATAGAAAATTAAATTAAAATGAAAAAAATAAATTAAAATGAAAAATTAAATTAAAATGAAAAATTAAAAATAAAAATTAAATTAGAATTGAAAATTAAATTAGAATTAAAAATTAAATTAAAAATGAAATGAAAATTGAAAATTAAATTAAAAAATTCAATGAAAATTGAAAATTAAATTAGAATGAAAAATTAAATTCAAAATGAAATGAAAGTTGAAAATTAAATTAGAATTGAAAATTAAATTAAAATTGAAATGAAAACTGAAAATTAAATTAAAAATTAAATGAAAATTGAAAATTAAATTAGAATTGAAAACTAAATTAGAATTGAAAATTAAATTGGAATTGAAAATTAAATTAGAATTGAAAATTAAAAATTTAAATTTAAAATAAAAATTAAATTAGAATTGAAAATTGAATTAGAATTGAAAATTAAATCAAAATTGAAAAATTAAATTGGAATTGAAAATTAAAAATTTAAATTTAAAATGAAAATTAAATTAAAATTAAAAGTTAAAATTACATTAAAGTTAAATGAGAAGTGAAAATTAAATAAGAATTAAAAATATAAATTGAAAATAAAAATTAAATTAAAATTAAAAATTAAAATTAAATTAAAATTAAAAATTAAAATTAAATTAAAATTAAAAATTAAAATTAAATTGAAAATTAAAATTAGAATTGAAAATTAAATTAAAATTAAATTAAAATTAAAAAATTAAATTAAAATGAAAAATTAAAATTAAATTAAAAATGAAAAATAAAAATTAAATTAAAATTATAAATTAAATTAGAATGAAAAATTGAATTAGAATTAAAAATTAAATTAGAATTGAAAATTAAATTAGAAGTGAAAATTAAAATAGCATTGAAAAATAAATTAAATTAAAAATTAAATTAAAAATAAAATTAGAATTGAAAATTAAATTAGAATTGAAAATTAAATTAAAAATGAAATGAAAATTGAAAATTAAATTAGAATTGAAAATTTAATTAGAATTGAAAATTAAAAATTTAATTTAAAATTAAAAATTAAAATTTGAAATTAAAATTAAATTGAAAATTAAAATTAGAATTGAAAATTAAAAATTTAAATTTAAAATAAAAAATTAAATTAAAATAAAAATTCCATTAAAATAAAAAATTAAATTAGAATTGAAAATTAAATTAGAATTAAAAAAAAATTGAAATTGAAAAAATGAAATTAAAATTCCAAAATCAAAATAAAATTGAAAAAAAATTAGAAAAAAAATCGGAAAAAACGCCAAATAGAAACCTAAAAAAAAACGAAATTAAAATGTTGTTTGCCGTGGGATGAAAAGGTGGGAATTCCCGGCAAACCCTTGGAATACCTGGAGCAGGAAGCCGTGCTCGTGGGCGTTGAAGTGCCAGTGGGGCGCCCGCAGCCCCCGCCNAGTGATTTTTCAGCGATTTTTCTGGAATTTTTGAGGAATTTTTCAGGGATTTTTCAGGAATTTTTCAAGAATTTTTTAGGAATTTTTAAAGGATTTTTCAGGGATTTTTCAGGAATTTTTCAGGAATTTTTCAGCGATTTTTCAGGGATTTTTTCAGGAATTTTTCAGGGATTTTTCCGGAATTTTTCCGGAATTTTTCAGGAATTTTTAAAGGATTTTTATCGGATTTTTTAGGGATTTTCCAGGGATTTTTCAGGAATTTTTAAGGAATTTTTCAGCAATTTTTCCGCGATTTTTCCGGAATTTTTCAGGAATCCCAATCCCCAAAATCCCCAACATTCCCAAACCTTCAGCGCCCGGGCCAGGACATCTTCCGGGGTGTCGAAAAAAGCGTCGTCCACATCCAAGGTTTGCAATTCCTGGTGGGTGCTGAAGAAAAGCAGGAAAAGGCAGTCGGTGCTCCCGGAATTCTTGATCCAGTGGACGGTGTTTTTCGGGAAGAAGACGACCTGGCCGGCGGTGACGTTGTAGGTGGTGACGGTGGCGTTGTCGGGGCCGATGACGCCGATCCAGGCGGAGCCCTGAGGGGGAATTAAAATTAAAAGATAAAATTGAAATTTAAAATTGAAATTAAATTGGAAATTAAAATTAGAATTGAAAAGTAAATTAGAAGTGAAAATTAAATTAGAAGTGGAAATTAAATTAGAAGTGAAAATCAAAAATTTAAATTGAAAATAAAAATTAAATTAGAAGTGAAAATTAAATTAGAAGTGAAAATTAAATTAAAATTAAATTAAAATTAAAATGAAAAAATTAAATTATAATGAAAAATTAAATTAAAATGAAAAATTAAAAATAAAAAATCAAAATTAAATTAGAATTGAAAATTAAATTAGAATGAAAAATTGAATTAGAATTAAAAATTAAATGGAAATATTGAAAATTAAATCAGAATTGAAAATTAAAGTAGAATTGAAAATTAAATTAGAATTGAAAATAAAATTAGAATTGAAAAATAAATTAGAATTGAAAATTAAATTAGAATTGAAAATTAAATTAGAAGTGAAAATTAAATTAGAAGTGAAAATTAAATTAGAAGTGAAAATTAAAAATTTAAATTAAAAATAAAAATTAAATTAGAATAAGAAATTAAAATTAAATTAAAATTAAAAATTAAAATTAAATTGAAAATTAAATTAGAATTAAAAACTAAATTAAGAATTAAATGAAAATTGAAAATTAAATTAGAATTAAAAATAAATTAAAATTAAAAACTAAATTAAATTAAAATTAAAATTAAAAATGAAACTAAAATTAAAAATTAGATGAAAATTAAAAAATAAATTAAAATTGAATTAAAATGAAAAATTAAATTAAAATAACAATTAAATAAAAATAAAAAATTAACTTACAAATAAAAATTAAATTAAAAAAATAAATTAGAATTAAAAATTAAATTAAAATAAAAAATTAAATTAGAATTAAAAATTAAATTAAAATTAGAAAATAAATTAGAATTAAAATTTAATTAAAATTAAAAATTCAATTACAATTAAAAATTAAATTAAAATAAAAATTAAAATAAATTAAAAATTCAATTAGAATTAAAAATTAAATTAAAAATAAAAATTAAACTAAATTAAAAGTGAATTAAGATTAAAAATAAATTTAGAATTAAAATTGAATTAAAATTAAAAATAAATTTAAAATTAAAATTGAATTAAAATTAAAAATTAAATTAGAAATACCAATCAAATCAAATCAAATTTTAAATTAAAATTAAAATTGAAATTGAAAATAGAAATAAAATGTAATGTAAAATAAAATAAAACCAGAAGAAAATAAAAATAAAATAAAAATAAAATAGAAATAAAAACAAAATAAAAATAAAAACAAAATAAAAATAAAATCAAAAAAGAGTAAAATCAAAATAAAAATAAAATAGAAATAAAGATTAAAATTAAAAATAAAGCTTAAAATTCAAATTCCAACTCAGAGAAAAATTCCCCAAAAAATCGCCAATAAAAATCCAAATTTCGGGGGCCGAAAAGGCCCGAAAAAAAAGTCGGGAATTCCCGGCAAACCCTTGGAATACCTGGAGCAGGAAGCCGTGCTCGTGGGCGTTGAAGTGCCAGTGGGGCGCCCGCAGCCCCCGCCCGCGGATCCGCAGGGTCCCGAAGGTCATCCCGGAGCGCCGGGCGTTCAGGCTGCTCCCGAATTCCCGCTCCTCCCGGCTGCCGTATTCCCGGGGGTCCTGCCGGAAGCGCGCCCACTGGATCTCCCCCCCCGGGAAGCTGAACACCTGGGGGAAGGGAATTTTGGGGGTTATATTCAATTATTTTCGATTTATTTTTGTGTTATTTTATTGAGATTTATTTGGTATTTTAGATTTTAAATTGATTTTTAAATTATTAAATTCGTAATTGATATGATTTTTATTTAATATTTTACATTTATACTTTTATTTATATTTTAATTTTATATTTTATATTTAATATTTTATATTCAGACTTTTATTTATATTTTTATTTTATATATTTTATATTTTATATTTTATATTTAATATTTTACATTTATACTTTTATTTTTAATTTTATTTTACATTTTATATTTTATATTTTTATTTACACTTTTATTTATATTTTAATTTTATATTTAATATTTTATATTTACGCTTTTATTTATATTTTTATTTTATATTTTATATTTTATATTTAATACTTTACATTTACACTTTTATTTATATTTTATATTTAATATTTTATATTAAATATTTTATATTTAATATTTTACATTTATTCTTTTATTTATATTTTTATTTTATATTTTATATTTACACTTTTATTTATATTTTTATTTTATATTTTATATTTTATATTTAATATTTTACTTTTACACTTTTATTTATATTTTTACTTTATATTTTATATTTACTATTTTATATTTACACTTTTATTTACATTCTTATTTTATATTTTTATTTTATATTGAATATTTTATATTTAATATTTTACATTTATACTTTTATTTATATTTTAATTTTATATTTCATATTTTATATTTACGCTTTTATTTATATTTTAATTTTATACTTTGTATTTTACATTTTACATTTATACTTTAATTAATATTTTAATTTTCTATTTTATATTTAATATTTTACATTTATACTTTCATTTATATTTTAATTTTATATTTAATATTTTATATTTTTATTTTTATTTTTATATTTATATTTTTATTTTTATTTTTTTATTTTATATTTTATATTTAATATTTTACATTTATACTTTCATTTATATTTTAATTTTATATTTAATATTTTATATTTTCTGTATTTTATTTTTCTATTTAATTTCTCAATTCATTTTATATTTGACATTAATTGGGAATTAATTAGTCATTAACTAATTAATTAATCGCAGTACCTTGGATTTGGGGAGTTGATACAGGAACTGGAATTTGGGCTCCACCCCGTTCCCGGGGGGTTCCGGCGTGGGCGGGGCCGCGATGCCGGAATTCCGGAGGGGGCGGGTGTTTTCCAGGAAAATCAGGGAAAGAGCCAGGATTCCGATGGTGGTGGTGAGGACGCAGGCCAGGAGGCAAAGGAGGAAGATTTGAAGTAAATTCCGGGTTTTCCCGGCCGGAATTCCCTGGAAAAGTGAAATGGAGAGAAAAC